GATAGTTAATACGTTGATTTAAACGAGTTAAATAGTTTGTGAAGGGAAATTCAAGACCATTGCGAAATATATGACCAATCGTGACGAGCTATTTAAATAGCTATTTACAAGATAATAATAACTAATAAGTATAAACGAGCATGTTTATCCAGCGAGTACCAGATTGATTAAGTACTGGAGTAGAGTGGTTGGGTACCAGGGTCAGTTGGGTAATGAAAATGCGGTAGTTGGGTACTTACTTCATTTGTAATCTTCTATTATTCACTCAAGACGTCTCAAGTTGAAGTTGCCTTTGTGAATCAAATCAATTCAAAACATAACTTTGCAATTGCCTTAGAGTTTACGGCTTTCGCAAAAGCCATATGCATGCTGGGCATAAATTAACTCATGTAGTACGCTGATAACGTGTGGTGTACTTATAATTATAAGTTTTTAAATTTAAAATCTTTCTCTATTCGAATACTATTAGAGTTTGAATGACAATTTCCACTAGTTTTAAATTTTCACAGACGCGAACGAGTTGTTGATGCGTTCAGATGTTAAAAATTGAAATAGATTTATATAGAAGTAGGCATTTGCAAATACTTTCACTACATACCTTCAAAAAGGCTTCCAATGTATACCTCGTTGACATATTTGTCTAAACTTTCTCCTGAACTTCTGTTTATTCGCTGTAAAGGCGGATTTCCACTTACAGCGAAATCGTTTGCTAGCGAAATATTTGCATATTTTCTTTTGAATTTTAAGAGCATAAATAAATTAGTGCGACTTGACTGTTCTCAATTCAAAACAAATATGCGAACGATTTCACTGTAAGTGGAAATCCGCCGTAACATGTTTTCACATTCCTTTCATGCATTGCATCACCTATTATGTATTTATAAGCATACTAGAAGTACATGCACAAAATCTTCAAAATCTTCAATGTTATTCTTTGAATATGCTGCGAATATTTGCAGCATAATTGGCATTTACTTCATCCAAATTCAAATTTCAACTTTAAAAAACCCTTTTCAAGTAAAACAATGGTGTGATAGCCTTTCGTAGTCGGTTTTATCTTGGCAAAACAACATACCAAGCTCAATATATAGCATGCAAATAAACTAGCTACATCTTTTTCAATACAGCAAATACGGAATAAACAAAATAGACACCTACCTGTTTAAAAGACTTAGTGGCTTATATCGATTACAATTTTATATCATACTTCTTTAATAGCTCATAGCCTCATGCAGTCCTAAATTTTATCCCCTTTTTAAAAAGTATATCCATAAATAAAAAATGTGCTCATCTTACTTGGGGAAATAGTTTGGGAGATCACAGTGAAATAATTTGCTGACGTTCTTTATTAAATACAAACATTCCACCTTATCAGGCATTGCTGATTACCATTCTTTACTCGCTTAAATTTTGCGTATGCGCATAACTCAGGACATGCAAAACCGCCCAACGTCGACCGTCCATGACATGTCATTTGGGCAACTTTGGTTTCCGCTATGTTCTGTCAAAATACCCGGGGGTATTTAATCTCCCAGCGGAATTAGTACCCTTGCACGGTGCTCGCACCGGCTAGGGGATTACGTAACAACGTTGTGTAGACAAACCGTAATAAATTTGAAGTATGACTTACGTTCTAATTCACTACGTTCAGCTGAACGTAAATTATTTTCTATCTCTATTCCTATGTATATTCATGAATAACAATATGGACCACAATATATGGTTGGTTGCTCAGGCAATCCATAGTTAATAGAATATACATGGTTTAGAGACTACATAAAACTACAATAGAACTGATTAACTATGTCGGGGAACATTTATGCAAAAAATTGTTCCTTATTCGTCACGTGTCTATTGTATTTTGAATAAATAAACCAATAGTAAGGTCTGAATTAACATGTTGTTCAAGTCACAGTCAAGGAGCTAAGCCAAGCCATTGCTTTTGGTTAGTTAGGCATTAATATAATAGACATGTGACGGATAAGGAACCCTTTTTTGCATAAACCTCGACAATAACATATATAATGAGTTGTATTGTACTTCCATCTAGCCTCCAAACCATGTATATTCTAATAACTGTGGGCAATCCAACTCTTTTAATTGTATGTAAATGTGTGCACTTCGATTTGATTATTTACATGATAGTATTGTAAACATACGACATTGCTCAATAGAACCCTAAATCACTTGAGATTTTTAAACGTTCTGTTACGTTATGCAAAATATACATATCTTTTGCGTTGCTGGTTTTGAGTGATCTTTCTGATAGGTAATTGTTATTTTTAACCGCGGCAGTTGCTCCTCCTGAACGTAAACTGTGTAATCCAAATTGACTGTTGTCGTACCCAAGATCTTTAAGACAGCTCTCGAAAATTTCTCTGCATCTAGAATATGACAATTTATTTCTACAAAGTTTATAAGTATCAGAATTCTTGTTAAAACGAACCGCTCTAAATAATGGAAGGTTACTGTTACAATCGATACCAGCCTTTGCCATGTATCTTTCCAATATCATCTCTGGGCAGTACTGATTATTGAGACGACTTACATACACGAAGTTTCCCTCTCTGTAAATATCGTTTTTAGCCTGAGGAATAAATAACTTCAAATAATCAGGGGTGATGGTGATATGAGACGGTATAATGTTACTCAACTCATCAAACCGCAGAAAAGCTGTGAATCCAAGGGTGCATAGACACGCAATCCTTAAGTCTTGTAAAGTAGCTGTGGGTGTAGCATGTTTATATTAATGATAGCTTTTACCATATCAGTAGAAACTGGAACTTTTCTATCAACAGCTGGCTTTCCGCGCTTCGTGAACTCCAGGAAATTCAAGACAATGTCACTATTGAAAGGGTTCTGATTCAAACACGGCATAAACGAGTGGTACCACTGGAGTGCAGCATGAATTATAACTAAACTGCATGGAGTATGATTTAGACTGACTGTATGTTTTATACATATAAGCCACTGCTAATGCCACAGAAACCAGCAGTGTTGATCTACTGATTTGCACCAATCGCAAAATTTGCTTATCTCTTTGAGATGCCTTTTAGATGTGGATGGCGCTCTAGACTGTAATAACTGGCCAAGGAAGTTCGAAGAAGCCGGTCTGACGAGGGTCTGCAACTCCAGCCATTCTTTGCAATCACTAAATACCTATAAAAGATGAGATTAACACGAACAATTTTTTTTTTGACAATGAACTTCAAAATGGGTTCTTTTAAATTCAGCAGTTATACAAGTATAAGAGAACTTAATTAAGTGAATTAAGCCTCTCCTTCCAAAACAATAAGACCATAATTTTGGATTGAGCGAGAAGCTTAATAGGTAATTGTTATGTAGTCGAGTAAACTCTGCCTCTGGGATGCAGCTTATATAAGCCTTGTGCGATCAAATACCATAGACTCAAGTGATCTGCGAATCTCTCTACAACAGAAAATTTTCTTGTTCTGAATAAAGGCAGTCTTCTAATAGATGTGTTAAATATGACTCATCTTTTCTCTAGCGCTTAGGGTCCAACTATTATTGAAATCATAAATAGCCCCATGCATTTTCACAAGCGACAAATATTATTTAAGATTTAATTTAGGTTACTTAAAGTGTCAAAGTCATGAGGGATATAATACTTGATTTTTGTTGTGTATCGGTTTTGTGATTGGTTGATATTTCTACCAGAACAGCGGGCTGTTCTGATGCATTTCTCGTACGAAACAAGTATGAAAATCTTTCATGATATCAATTATAGCGTGCCCTAATAATTATTAATACAACCGAATCTTATATGTTTTGATCGAAGCTCATTATTTTCATATTCCGAATAGCAATTTTCCGGTTCCTTGCACCTCAAGTGCTTCCTACTTTAATTTGTAATGTGCGTAGCTGCATGTTAGCAGCGATTGCATTTACGCATTCTCCCGATTACCACATGCATTAACCATAGGTCATAAGTAATTCCGTTCCATGGCATAAACGCGTTCAATTCATATTTAGTGTTAAATTTTTGTTGGATTTGTAAAGTTGTCAACAAGCACACTTTAGAGTAGAAAAACAGGGGAAAATGACTCCATCCAGGCCCAACTCAGTTCTGTCGAGCAGTGGCCCATGCAGGGTTAAATTCTTACAGCTTAAAATCGCAATCGCATTGCCAGATTTATGAATATTTTTTATGTCCGTAACCAATCGCGTTGTATTTAGGTAAATGAAATGAAATAAAAATTAAGCTGTGTTTTTATAATTAAGCTGATTAGCCCTAGACTCGCTACTAAAATGTTGAGGCGCTTATAAGCCTTTAATGTTTCCAGCCGCGTTCATGGACCAATATTATCGGTAAAGAATTGTAATATATAAACTATAATTAGAAAATGTGTAGCTATTATGAAGGCTATGCTAAATTTTTGCGGTCGCGGTGTGATTTACGTGCGGTTACGGTGTGATTTTATTGAAAATAAGTGAACCGGTTCGCCAGCGTCAATCAATTCCCGTGTAATATCCCATTCGAGTACTCTCTTACAGGTGGGTTGTGAGAGGTCACCTCTGGATTGAGAGTTTAGCATTTCCTCTCTGCATAGTTTGTAACCGCGGAAATTCGTTACTGATCACGCATCATGGATTCAGCGTACTTGATGACGATGACGCTTTGCGTCGCTGCGCATCCAGCGGAAAGCGCGTGAAGGTCAATACTTGGGACACACACAAAACGATACTATTTAAAAAAGCCCAGTTCATGAATTTTTCTCATAACGCGTTCATCTTGGTGTTGGAGTGAGATAGCGAAGAATTTAAACCAGGTAAGATGAACTTCTTGCTTCATATTTCATTGTATTCCTCGTTCAACCTGCATTCTCTTAGGTTGTTTCATTGCAGAAATTTCATACAATTTGTAAAAATATCTCACTAAACGGTTTATCTTAATTTCTTTTTACATTTTAAGGTTATTTAATCGTAATATAGTGATTAGTCGTTTTTGCTGTTAGGACGAGTTGCATTTAGAAGCAACCATGAAAACAGGTAACATATGTTTACGATCTATAATTTCAATCATAACTAACCATACTTTGTCAGCTTAATGTATAAAAGTCAATTTATAAACTAACATATTTTTACACATTTTGTTAAACTTTGCTGGTGCTTTAGATTTCTTAGAGTACTTTACAAGCAGATTTACTTTTGCTGAAGTCACCATGAATATATTACGAATTTTAATAATATATACCCACCTCACCCTCCTCAACTGAATCTGATTGAAGAATGTGATAGTTACATTGATGATGTTTCTTGTTCCTAGACCTGTGTTTCTTTGTTGCGCTAATCACTGTTTACTTAATTGATATCAAGTCGCGTACACGCCATAAACAGAGGTAAATAATCCGTGGTTTAATAATCCCCTGTACTTTATGACCGGTCTCTTATCTCTTCAGATATATTGTATCTAAAGCATGTATTATATGTTTTCTAAACAAAAAAATAGCTCAGCCAGTGCTAAGTTATTGCACAGCTTTCCACTCGGCAAGCCCTGCACTCCTCATACAGCTATATTTTTGCCAGCATCAAATAATTTCAGAAACCAGTTCTTAGATCAGAAGATCCACTTCATATTTTTAAAATTTTGAGTCAAATGGGACATCGCGCTAAAGGTTTTGTTTAAATCAGCATTTGTTTGTCAAAAATTCGATTTTTCTATCGATTTACTCATTAAATTTCAGCGTGAGTATGTTTTAGTATGTAAGAAAAGAAGTGTGGTAATATTTTTCTAGAAGTGGAAGCACTCTAGTCATGCAGCAGTCTATAATATTATATAGCTTATCTCTGCATGACAAGCATTCATGCAGAGTAAGCTAAATAAAGATATGAATTATGAATCTGAGCCAAATCGAGTCACACTTTTTTGCCCCAATGTGCGCATGCGTAACTTGCTTTGCAAGTCCCAACACTTTTATTGCATTTATAATATCTTATATCGTAATTTCTAAAACGAACACAAAACTGTCCGGAAATAACTTAACAAAAACCGCGTTAACCTAGGTCAACCCTCGGTCTGATCGCGGTTGAATCCAGGTCAGAACGAGGTCGAACGCGGTGAGACGGAGGTTGAACCTCGGCCTAACTCTGTCTGTCAGACATTTCTTAAGATTTTTTCAATTTGACTATTGTGTTGTCGTTCTCAGCTGTTCATAACATTCTGTTCGGAAGCTAACGGTAACCCGAATCTTATTTTTTCCTTTGCGGTCGTCTGCGGTTTCTATCGGTTGACTGCAACCGAACCGAACCGCGACCTAACCACAACCGAACCGCAATTGTAGTGTTAGGTTATTTCTGGACAGTGCTATATACGTAAAAACGCAATTCAAACAATGAGGGCTTAACATGCTTATCCATTCCTTAAATTGCATTTCACACGACCAAAATGCGAATCATCATGGAGAGTGTAGTATGTACATTACTTCCCGATAAATTTAGATTCTTTTACACATTCAATTAATATCTAACACTACAAGAAATATTACACTTGGGTTGAATGATGTCGTTAAAACATGATATCCAAGATTCATTTAATCACTTAATCTCCCATCTTAGAGATTAAGCGAAAGACGTGTGCTGTTCCTTGTGTCAGAAAAGCGCTTTTTCCAGTATGTGGATCTGACCGCAATACATACCCCAATTATTGCATATTGGTAGAGACCGCTTGTCAGTTTGAAGAAATCATCATAGTTGTACACAAAGGACCTTGCGGTAAGTCAAGTTTATGTATTTACTCTTGCACTTATATTTGCGTGACGATTATGGTGCTCATTATATGTTCTTTTTCAAGTCTATATTATATGAAATTATCCGTGGTTTAAAAAATCTGTAAACCCATTTGCGAATTCAGAATCAGAATCCTTGAATTCTCATCCCATAAGGTAGGATTAGGGTTGGGAATAAGTTTTAATTGGGTTTATAATAAGGTTAGGGTGCTATTTCTAAATCTAACCTAATACTCACTTAATCTGAAGTATTAAATTGGCGCATTTGGAGCTGAACATGAAATTATTTCAAAATTGACCTTCGTACAGAAATTGAAGGATTGGACTGACATAATATTTTACTGGAGTGGAAACTGCTTGAAACAACCAACCACGGATATGCATAAAAACACGCCTGCCACTAATGTATGATATTACATCCTACATAAAGTATCTGTGTCTATGTAATTATATATTCTGAATATAGAACTGAAATGTTCGGCAGCTTGCCCGAGAAACTTCGTTCCTCAATGTGGTACAGACGGCAAGACGTACGCTAACTCGTGTACCCTAAAACATGCGCAATGTGAAAGTGACGGTGAAATTAGATTAGCCCATCATGGGGAGTGCGGTATGTTAATTTCTCCCCAATCTCAGATTCTCCATTCCATTTGTATAAATAATGATAGGTTGCCTATTTCAACCCTGTCTATCTTCATATTAACATTAGACAGTGGTGTAAATCCTCAGATGCTGTTGACATCCTAAAGTGCCGTATATAGCACTGCTAGATGCTTCTTCAGCTTAAAATGATTGGCTGAAATATGGCATGATACTGCCATTCTAGAACCTAAGCCGGAGCCAACGTGTGCCGTTGCGTGTCCCACAAAGCGGCTAAGTCAAGTATGTGGATCAGATGCCAATACGTATCCTAATTATTGCATATTGAAAGAGACCGCTTGTCAGTTCGGAGAGGATCTCAAAGTCGTTCACAGAGGACCTTGCGGTAAGTTAAAACTTTATTGGCTGAATGTTTATATAACATGTTTTACTGCTCCATGGAGTTTATTGGATGCTTTTATTCTGATTTATTATGCTATTTATTATGATTTCTGTAATGGAGTGATTTTCTCGTGGTCTCACTCTATTAACTTAACGAAACAAAATATGTGGTTGTATCCTCCTGTTCCATATCTCGTTGCCATAACCTAGGATCCCCATTCTACTTATAGGTAACGACTTTTGTTGTCGAACAAACAAAAGCTTCTCTGATAATATTCGCCCTCGCCGAATCTGGTGTATCCATGCCATATCCCCATTGAACTGTTTTCCGAAAGTTATTATTTACGTTGCAAAATTACCTAAACCATATCTGTAAAATAATTTGTATTTAGTAACAAATTACTTTTGTGACGGATATTTAAAAACTTGATAAGTTTTCGTTCTAGAGCTCCTTGTCTCATAGAATAATTATACTGAATTATAATCTGTTTACGGTAGAACCAAAGTGTAACCCAAAGATCCCATTGCCATGGAGTCCTGAATGTGGTACGGATGGTATAACATATGGTAACAAATATGAGTTGAAAAACGCCTTGTGTAAGAGTGATGGAGAAGTGAGACTGGCTCATCACGGAGCGTGTGGTATGTACATTACCCTCAGTGAAATTTAATATTTCCCATGACTATATCCCGTTGTGCAGTTCTAGAAAAGATATATTGGAAAAGTAGGAAAACATCAAGGACTTTATGATGTTTAAAAAGAAATACACTCGCGAAATCTCCCATCTTTGCGAGTTGCGATGACCATTGACCACCATGACTATTGATTACAGTCTCCAACTTTCAGAAAAATATTTACATGCTTCTTTTCTCCCTTTCTCAAACATACTTATATACCACGTACCCTCCAAGCCCCCAAACCCACATAACTATCATGTTACCATCCCTAACGAACTTCGTTTAACCGAGGCGAGGGATTGCTGCATGCATGTATTTCTAGTGGACTATAACCATAAACTGCATGCATCAACATAGACAATACACATGCAAATATTTACCAAAGTTAAAAAAGATCCTGTGTAATGACCATGGAACTCAATAATAACTTGAAAGCCGTCCTCTGGAAGCATTCCCAGATTTCAAAATTCCAACTGCATGGGTTTGTAGAAACTGCACAATAGCGATTTCCCAGCACATCCAAAAGGTTTGACCCGAATTTCTGCCCAAATTGGCCAAAGAAAGTAATAGTCAAACGCAAGTACATTAGTATTCCAAAGAAGCAGTGAAATGCATGACGTAATAGCAATTTGGCTTTCGTTTTTTAACTTTCTATCCTCCGTGGCTTTATAATATCGAAATTTGCTGTTTCTACTATCCAGTGACTCGAGTCATACGCATATTATAATAAGTTACAATTTCATTGTAAATTGACAATATTTAGTTCATAATAACAATTCTTAGCAAACGTTCACAAGATTTAAATGGGCTGCCCATCATCGTACGCTGTTTCTTAAGATTCATTTGATCACTTAATCTCCCATCTTAGAGATTAAGCCAAAGACGTGTGCTGTTCCTTGTGTCAGAAAAGCGCTTTTTCCAGTATGTGGATCTGACCGCAATACGTACCCCAATCATTGCATATTGGAAGAGACCGCTTGTCAGTTTGAAGAAAACATCACAGTTTTACACAAAGAACCTTGCGGTAAGTCAAGTTTATCATATCAGTTTATATTCTGGAATTGGCCTTCGTACGAAAATTGAAAGATTGGACTGACATAATATTTTACTTGAGTGGAAACTGCCTGAAACAACCAACCACGGATGCATCGAAACCCGGCAGTTACTAATGTATGATATTACAATCTACATGAAGTATCTTTGTCTAAATAATTATATATTCTGGGTTTAATATAGAACCGAGATGTTCGGCAGCTTGCTATAAAAACTTCGATCCTCAATGTGGCCCAGACGGCAAGACGTACGCTAATTCATGTACCCTTAAATATGCGCAGTGTGAAAGTGACGGTGAAATTAGACTAGCCCATCATGGGGAGTGTGGTACGTTAATTTCTCCTCAATCTCAGATTCTCCATTCCATTTGTATAGAATAATGAGAGGACTAAAAGGGCCACTTAGCGTTTGACAATGACTTTGAAATAAATAAATAAAGAAATGAAATAAAGTCGATATATATAACCCCTAAAAATTCTTGTCTTGTTGTTATTGCCTAAAATTTTATTCTTGAGTTTACAGATGTAGCTCACATCTTGAGTTCTTTTTCGTAGCTAGTTTTTTCTGGTATTTTATTGTATTACTTAACTCTAGAACCTAAGTGTCCGGAGAGATGCACAGTGGAATACGATCCCCAATGTGGTACAGATGGTAAAACATATGGTAACCCGTGTTTTTTGAAAGTTGCCTCGTGTGAGAGTGATGGAGAAGTGAAACTGGCTCATCATGGAGAGTGTGGTATGTTATAGTCCAATAGATTAGGTAATTACAAGGCATCTAGGGGCCGGTTGTTCGAAAGGCGTTTACCAAAACGGCCCATAAGTTTTAAGTGCAAAAAAATTATCCACAGTATTTATTACGAAAGCCGAGGAAATTCTTCTGACTTTGGACTCCTGGCTTCCGACTTTCGAGATTCTGTTGTCAAGAATAGGGAGCTTCAGCAATTAAATAACTCTGCCTTGTGCTTTATGCGGTACATATACAATATGATATCCCAAAATTTGTTTAATCGCTCAGTCTCCATGCCATAGAAACTAAGCCAGAGCCAACGTGTGTCGTCCCTTATCCAAAAATATATCTTCTGTGTATGGATCAGATGGCAATACATATCACAATTATTGTATTTTGGAGGAGACTGCTTGTGAGTTAGAAGAGATCGAACATCACGATCGAACATCACGATCTCAAGATACAACAGGATATCATTTATAAATACTGTATGATATCCTAATATACGATGTGTTTCTCCGCAATACTGCTTGATATACCACAAAATTTTGCATTCTCAATACGAGATAACTTATATTTTCTACCTCAAATAAACCTTGTCATTCTTTGTGGTACTGCGTGGTATTATATGATACTCTGTGATGTTTTCGAATATAGTGATGAAATTTTCTGATATTTCTTCCTCATGTGTACATTTACTATTCTCATATATATAATTGGCTATAGCGCTATCCACCAGATTATGATTTTGCAATCGTTGTGAACATGCCTGAAAAGCAATGCAATTAGAGATTTGTAAATAAGAGTTAAAAAAAAGAGAATTCCCAATTTAGTAACATTAAGGTCAGAGCGACTAAAAAACACTATCCCATGCCGATCGCTATCAAGCTTTCGTACAACCGCCCCTGTAGGTTGCATGGCCATGGGTACGAAAAGCGGGCAAATTGCCTACGCCTAAACGGCCACCTCGAAGCTGAAAAAAACCCAATCGTTATGACCGTAAGTGCGGTCGTTCTTGTATGATTCATACCTCCACTCAAGGTAGCCCTCTTAAAATACATCACGATGCTGCTAAAAACTCCACAATATCCCAGGATCAGTTGTATTTTTTATTTCTCAGATTACTGAACGCAATTCTAAACACAACAGCTTGAAATAATGCTTGATATTTCTATAGAGCTAAAGCAGGAGGAGACTCAGGTGACGTGTGCCGTTCCTTGTCCCAGAAGGCGGCTCCGTCCAGTATGTGGATCAGATGCCAATACTTATACTAATGTTTGCATATTGAAACAGACTGCTTGTCAGTTCAGAGAGGATCTTAAAGTTGTTCACAGAGGACCTTGCGGTAAGTTAAAACTGACCATTTTGGCTGAATGTTTATATAACATGTGTCACTGCTCCATGGAGTTTATTTGATGTTTGCATTGAGCATCGCACTTAAAATATGGCAAAACCTAGGATCCCCAATCTACTTATACGTAACGACTTCTGTTATTGAACAAACAGTTAACTGTAACTTCTCTGATTATATTCGTCCTCGCAAAATCTGGTGTATCCATGCCATACCCATGCTTTGCATGAGATCTCCAATCAATTGTTTTCCGAAAGTAATTATTTACGCTGAATTATAATCTGTTCATACGGTAGAACCAAAGTGTAACCCAAAAATCCCATTGCCATGGAGTCCTGAATGTGGTACGGATGGTATAACATATGGTAACAAATATGAGTTAAAAGCTGCCTTGTGTAAGAGTGATGGAGTAGTGAGACTGGCTCATCATTGAGCGTGTGGTATGTACATTACCCTCAGTGAAATTTTATATTTCCAATGCATATAATTTTACCCAGTTGTGCAGTTCAAGAAGAGGTATGTTGGAAACCATCATGGACTTCATGATGTTTTTTAAAAAAAATATTCGCATATTCTCCCATCTTAGAAACTAAGCCGGAGCCAACCTGTATCGTCCCTTGTCCTAAAATACAGCTTCCTGCAGTATGTGGATCAGATGGCAATACCTATCCCAATTATTGTATTTTGGAAGAGACTGCATGTGAGTTTGGAGAGAACATCACGATTGTACACAAAGGACCTTGCAGTAAGTAAAATATACATTTTTGAATGGAAGTTGGCCAATAGTTTTGCGGCTCTAGGAATTTTATTGAGAGTATTGCACTTATAAGGGAGATACATGTGAGGAAATTATCTTGTTTGTTTGTTTCCTATTTTCGTAAAATGAACACATTACTTAAGTATAATGGGTAATTGCAACCATCTCCAAAGCGGCATGGAATTAGGCCATTCATATCTTGTAATCAAACGATGCCAGCAAGAAAATACAAAACTGTAAGCTAACCTTAAGAGTTTAAAAAAGGAATGACATGAAATATGTGAGCACCCGACTGTCGTAAGAGTTTTATTTTTTCACAACTTGTAGTTAGATATACAGGGTGTATAAAAAAATGTCAGGTCTCTTTACCATGCAATCAAAGACTGCAATCTACAACAATAACCGTTACAAGAATCACCATTGTAACGTATTGTAGCTAGTTGAAGTGTCAATGTCTAACCATAAATTTCGAATTTGATATAGTACCGAAGTGTCGCGCCGGTTGTCCAAAGCTTTACGATCCTCAATGTGGTACAGACGGCAAGACATATAGCAACCCGTGTATGTTAAGATATGCTCAATGTGGAAGTGACGGGGAAATTAGGCTGGCCTATCATGGAGAGTGTAAAGTGTAGGTCATTCTTGTACCGCTTTCTTTCGTTTTCACTTTCCACACAATAAATATTTGTCCTGATTATGTCATTCATTCTTTTAGGCCTTTGAAGGAATAAAGAAGGAAGGGATCCTGATCACCTACGAATTTGTTTAACCATGTGTAGTTTAGTATTTGTTGTTTCAATAATTGTCAATCAGTAATTTCTTTCAAAGAATCTGTAAGAATGTCTTCTATATTGTCAACTGCTTAATTGTTTTATGTTCTTTTCCAAATAAATGTTTGAGTCCTTAGCAGTTGTTCCGGCTGTTTTTACATTTTTGTGCAAAAGACGAATTTTTTTCTGAGCAACAAAGCTTGCAACCTGAATTTTACTAAGCCATGGCATATAAGCATTACCATAAAAAATTTTTGAATGCAAAATGCAAACTGTCCTGACTAAGTCTATCAATGAATTATTAACTGGCCATGCAAATGGTTGCAAAGTTGTGTGAACATATGTCTGTAAGTCAGTAAGTGGTTTAAAAAAGTATGTGTTGTTTCTTTTACCAAAATTTGCAGATGATCATATGGCAATGCACAACCAAAATATAGTACCAATAACATACACCTACAATTATGGACAGGAGAATTTATAGTATATGTCATGTTTTCAGATTTCAGACACTGCACTAAGAGACTGGGCTATGTATATTATAGACTTGGGGGCAGTTGTATAAGATTCTTAACTACATTTTTTAGTCCGGCTACAAACTGTAGTCAACTCGAAAATAAACGACTCTCATTGGTCAATTCTCTCACTATATAAGTATAGTCTAAAGTTAATTAAGTTTTTATATAGCCAGGGCTAAACAGGGTTGATAAAACCGGCCCTATATGCCTAGTGCAACTATAAAATAATAAGATTTAAGTTAAAAGTTTAGTTTTTTTGGTAAAAGTCATTTAAAAACACATGGTATCCATGGGCACTTTCCCTTAAGCGACCAAAATGGTCAAACCGATAAGTCACATTTTGATTGAAATAGAGTGTTTCGTAAAAATATATAGCCTTGACACAGCATTTTCCGAGCTAGAATAACGATATACTTGAATATAGAGTTCTTGAAGCATTCTAAAATGCCAGTAATCTGTCTGCGCTTAAATATAACACCACTATCGAGGCCGTTTATACTAAATAAAGGAAAGCGCCCTATATGCGCGCACATGCATCAAGTATCATATAAATTGAAGCGTTTCCTGGCAAGCATTTTGAGAAACGGAGTCTTTTGAATATACAATTATTGATCACGTCGCGTAGCGACAGCGATCTATAGTTTCGGCTTGGTTTTTTTTTATTATTTTCCTCTCGGGTCGACCCCCAGCGTCGCAAGCTGCAGGCCATATCACCCTAATCGGGAACCTGCGCACAGGTAAGTTGCTAGTTATATCACGTGTTGTATATATGGGGCATATTTCGTTTCACCTTCGAACTTCGAAGCAGTAAAGTAGAATCAACAAGACGCCTGTTCTGGGGTTAACTCCGGCGTAGTGCGCACGTGCCAGTCTTCAATATAAAGCTTCTGAACATAAACAATACAGTTCATATTCATTTAGATGCCTTGCGAACCTAAATGTTGTTCGATCGCGAAATTCAGAAGCATATCGTACTTTAAAAAGTATAGAAGTTTAATTGTTCAAAAATGTACATAAACCGCATGATACATTCGCTTTGTCTTACACTTTGCCTTTGGAATTCGTGCTGGTATAGTTATATTAAATTTTCAATCCTGTGCAAACTGCGACATGTCAACGCGCCCATACACGGAGCGATATTTTTATAATGGTAGGACCAGAATCTACATGTATTAAATATATTCTTACCCCAATTCAATCTAAACTTAATCGAACAGCATCAAAAGAAGGGTTATTTGTTCCTCTTGGAGGAATTGCCGTATCATGTGAGCGAAATCTAGCCAAAGTTGTGCACCACAACTCTTCGGAGACAAGACTGGGGCGTAGATAAATCCAATCACATACGCATTTCAAGTACTAATATATCTCGCACCATTACAGACTTGCGACGACGAAAAATAATAAAAACAAAAACAAAAACAAAACAAAACCGAGGCGAATTTTAATCTCCATCGCTGACGCAGGAGTAATAAAGCGATCAAAATGCTAGCAAGTGCTATCTTTATCTTTACACTCATTACACATACATGCAACTAACTGCACACGCCGATCAGAGTAAGCCTGCACTAAAGGATTTGAAGCAGTTTCGAAATGGGCTGTTGTGTGTTTCTCCTGCTTTCAACATGCGACTATAGGTCGGTATATTGTTCATTTTTATTATTAAGAACATTTACGACACAAAATTTGCATAGCTGGGCTGGCTTCGCCGCTGTGAACGACGCGATCATATAACGCCTAGTAGGCGTCTTGTTGAGTCAAAAATCAAAGCCACAAACCCTTCACTTTTCTTTGATTTTTTTCTCGACCTTTTCGTTCTGTAGGCCGGCTTCAGAATTTTACCAGTGCCTAATTTAACTATAGGGAGCAGCGTGGCAGCATCTTCAAACAACTCGTATTAAATGTGGTATAACAACTGGCAAAAAATTAAAATAGGCAAAAAAACCTTCTCCGTCAGGGGAATTAGTATGGGGCTTCCTGACGACCGACGAAGGTAATTAATTAGTTCGAATGTTTTTGTCTACTTTAAGCAAATGTTATACCCTGTACCCTTCCTAATTTGTTTTCGAAATTCGAAAAATCAAAAATCCTAAATACACACGGGAATACAGGCCGGTAACAGGTATAGATAACAGTCGGCAAGACATACGGTAACACGTGTGTGTTCAAATACGCCCAATGTAAAAGTGACGGAAAAATTGAGAAATTAAACGAGACTTACCTTAAGTCGAGTTTGATTGGGATTCTATGAGTCAGAGTAAGGAGCGGAGGAATAATATGAGATAGCGAATGCGAATCCACCATAATTGAAATCCCAGAAATGGGCACATTTTATTGGGATGGGTAAAGCCATATATAGAGGGGGGGGGAGGCATATCATTCCTCCGCTCATTAGTATGACTCATAGAATCCCAATCAAACTTCGACTTAAGGTAAGTTTCGTTTAATTTCTCAATACAACTCGTCATAGTGACGTCACTGCAAAATAATATGAAATTTGCAAGCGATGTGCCATATTTCCAAATAATTCAACACAGTAGTTAAACAACATGTTATATTTAACAGAATAATTATAAAGCCTGCGTGTGTAAACTAATTAACGCTATCCAACAGTTTTTCCCCACAAAGTTGGTTGTTCAAGTTCTAAATTATAAAATTTTTCAAAAGTGTTATTACTAAACCACCCAGCACTTTCTAAAATAGTATTTATTGGTAATCCATGCCGTGCTGCAGCCGACGTCGAAGCAGATCTAGTGCTGTGTGCTCCATAATAATTCGTACCTATATCAGCCTGTTCCAAGGTCGTTGTTTTCGACAACTGTTTTCTTCTATGGATAACGCATGAAGCGGTTGGCATCTTTGCCCACTCAGAATAGCAATAAGTACTGCCAGCTTACAGGTTAGTTCTTTTAGAGATATTTATCATACTCCGGTAATGATTTTAAGGATCTCAACAAAACATTAAGGTCCCTTGTTTTAGTATATGTCGGCAATGACGGTTTATCTTCAAAGACTCGTTTCAATAGCCGCTTGACCAAAGGATGTTTCCCAAACGATGTGCCATCAGGGAGTGTTAGTACACTTGATAGTGCAGTCCGTCCGGATACATGACATACCAGCAGCTGTAGCATTTCCTCTGGGTAACATGGAAAACATAAATTGTTTTTCTTTGGTGGTATCAGTAACGGATGTTGGATCAGCAGTCTCATCAAAGCTGGGAACCACACATGAGTTGTCCAGTTCGGTACCACTAACGCTCCAGTGACTTCCTCCTTTTCGATTTTCTGTATTGTTTGGGTTGTCACACTAAATTGTGGGAAAGCGTAGAACATTATGGGCTGCCAATTTAAAGAAAAGGTATCTACAGCTATACATTCTGGATCTGTTCTATATGAAGCATACAGTTTGCACTGGGTGTTATGCCGAGATGCAAACAAATTAACCTCTGGTTGACAATTAAATGTCTTAAGTGCACTGTTAAGCAATTCCCGTCAAGACTCGTAGTCAGCAGATATATTGTCTACCCCAAGTATATGTGCTGCAGTAACCCAAATTTTATTCTCAGCACACCACACCCAGATTTCTATGGTCAAGGTATTACAACAACAACCTGAATGACTAGTGGCCATGTAATTAATGCAAGAGACGGCTGTTGTATTGTCGCACTTAATCTTAACATGTTTCCCTTCAATATTAATGTGAAAAGCGGACACACACCACTTTTACACACTTCTTATCTTCATGTTTCTTTTACACAAAGCCAACCCTGCTCCCCGCTGACGAGTCCGCAAAAGGATGAAACGCCGCGTACGGGGATACTGATTCGCACGCTTGCCTTTCTTGTCTTCTGTTTTACTTTTCTACCTACCTCCTTACATCACCTTGACTTAACACCACCAATAACGCTACACAACCTATTACTACAAACGCAACTACATAGTTTCTTGAAGAACTCCATCATACACAAACAAAACCCCTTTTTTTGAAAAATTTTATTTCAAACACACCACATGGTTGGCAGTTGTCCAACAAATTCCAAACTACCCTGGTTATTTTTATTTATTTCTACGCCCCTCAATTCGCAATTAACTATTCAACGAATTACTCATTATGTTCCCCTTTAGCCCACATACACATAACGTTCTATTTTTTCCTCTAGTTTGTTTAATTCAGACAATTGTTACAAATTAACTTATAACTATATAAGAACTACAATATGGTTCCAATTACCTATGTCAAAATATAAAATAAATATTGTTTAGTTCTAGTTGTAACAATTGAATCAATCTCATACAATGAACCAGAAAACAGTCCCCCTTGTTTATTGACACGTAAACCTCCACTATCCCCAACAATGACTTTGACACCTGACCCCAGTGACCTAACATACTAACGCATCTTACTTCGCAATTAACTATTCAACAAATTACTTATTATGTTCCCCTTTTG